TACCGATGGCTGTCAAATGACCGCTTTTGAAATAAACATTATAGTCTTTTCCAGTTGATTGTAATTAATACAGAATTTAGCATAGTCGTGCAGTAAGTTCAAGAAAAATAAAAACCTGGAATTTAACAATTTTGATTAAAGTCTCAAAAGCGGTCATTTGACTGCTCTGGTAGGTTTAGTGTTAAGTAGCTTGTTCTGCATTAACATATCTTTAAAAGAATGAAAGTAGTAACGAAAGAACTTTGATTTCCAGTTAAACATCTTATATGTCAAGTTCTACGTCATCATAAAGTTATTGGAGTTCACGCCCAGCTCCTAAAATAATATATGGCACACTACTAATGTTCTTGTGAGCATTATATAATTTTCTATTCATGAGACACACTTCGTAGTAAATTTCCAAAAGAGGGCACTTCGGATATTCTAGGGATATCTACAGGATATTCATAACTAGATATAGATATCTAGTGGATATTCACTTTGGATATCGTAGACATCTTATGGATATAAAATGCTGTGTGGGTAAGTTTTTAATGCGGTCATACATTAACATTCGTGTAGATAAACAATTTAATCATGCATTTTAAGTTTTCTTTTTTAAAATGTATTTTTCTTATTTGGAAATATTTTATTGTACTATTTTTTCCCTCTCATATATTTTCCCTCTCACTTTTTTTTACCAATTTTTCTTCTTTCATTTTCGTCCGCTGCATACTTCTCAGTCATAGCGATCAGAAACACACTATGCTATTATGCTGATCACATGTCACCCACACTTTCATTTAAATAAACAGACATCGTTTTTCTTCTTGGGACATGTATATATCATTGGTAGGAGTTATTAAAATGCTTCAGATTTCTTATTATTGGTTACAGTATATTTAAAACAGCAATTGATAACTGCAAGACTTTTAAAATAGAGTTGCCATACAATTTATCAGTCCCTTGTGTATATAGTATTGGAAATGATTTGAATGTACAGTTTGAAGAAATCATATATAATTTATTCCGAAAGTGTCTTCTGTTAAAAAACTTATTATACCGGGAGTAGGCGCGTGGAGTGTCTAAACACCATAACTTAATGATTATCAAATAGAGAACAAAATCGTACAAAATTTCTTTTTAATAGTGAACCGTTTATGGAAGAGTGGGCGAATACTGGCAACTGCAATATTAGCTGAACGAAGAATACTACGAACAGAAAACCGGTTGCATTTTTTACCTATTATAAAATAGCGATATAAAATAGTATTTCACCATTTTCGTTCGCTCTGAACACAATGGATTCGATTGAAATAATCGACACATTTCAATGTAAAAAAAATGTCTTGATTATGATAACGGTTTAGAAATATTTAAGCTTAAGGAATCTAAATTTCCCGACGCTTATTAAAAGATACAGTTCTTTAACTTTCCTTTCATCCTCTCGAATTTTTTAATACTATAATAAAAATTATATTTAATAGACTAGTCGCTCATTTATCGACCGGCTAATAGAATAGAGTTGTGCTTCTGAATGTCTCAATTCTCACTACGCTCCCCTCTAAGCATACTGGTCGATGACTCTGAGAATTAAAAATTTACTGTACTAGTCAACTCATGGAGTTGTACGGTGGCTGTTGATGCCTGAGATGGAAACATAAAGAAAGTAAGTAATTACTACTAATATACAAGTATTATGGGTATCACATTGAAGAAGCTTACAGACAGTCGTGCCATAAGAATTAAATAGAACATTAGATCAGAAGCAGAAACTAGTGGCTATTGCATAGATTATAACCCCAATTACAGTTTTTGATAAGTCAAAATGCATAACGTATTATTTATATACAAATGTCTATGTAACCTATTCACAGAATAGTGCATGAGTATTATGGTATTAAGTAAATAATTACATTCGGAGAATAACAACAAATTAGTTATTAATTTCATAATAATAAAGATTTCATATGGTTCCTAATGATACAGGATGTCCCTAAATTGCTTTACTAACAGGGTAATGTGATGTAAGGGGGACATCGCTGATCATGAAAATGAACTTCCTTTTGTTGAGAGGTGTTTAGTTTTCAAGCTAGAGCCGTTTAAAGTTGGCCAATCAGAGTGAGGTGTGAGAAGATACGTAGGCACCCCCGGCCACTAAGTTCTTGCCCGTTGTGATTGTTTCTCGATGTACATTGTTTTTTCAAAATACATGCAAATTTCAGACGAGCGAGATCACACGCTTAAAATTTCCTGTGCATGTATCCCGTATACGCTGCGAATAAAACATATTTTTTTATGTGAATATCGCGCAAGGCAAATGAAACTACCCTGTAGCCAATAGTTACACATTTTGTTATTGTGAATGATTAATTGTAGATTGCGACTAGGTCTTTCGTATGCATTATTTGTGCTTCAGTTGGGAAGGATCAATTTGAAACTCTTCTAGGTCAGTCGATAATCTTCCACAAATCTGCAAATGATCTTTTCTCTACTCGTACCATACGTCCTTTCATCCGGCATTACCACCCACTTCTGTAAATATACCAGCCTTGACAGGACTTTTTCAATAGCTTAATAATAACTGACCATATCCCCGGATCGAACTTAGGGATTTGGTAGAAGATATACAAAATATGATACTTTAGTTTAGATGACCTTTATTCGCCCATTCTCCCTTATATCTACAATTGCACACTTTTCGCTAAACTAATCAAGTTGAAAACGATAGAAAAAATTAAGTTCCGAATGTAAGTGAACTAGTATAATTACTGTATTAATGTTATACAATGGTGCAGACAAAACTGTAAAAATGATTACATGTTTAAATTAAAAATTTCAAGCAAATAAGACTGTTAAACCGATCAGGTTGAAATTTAATAAAGAAAATCAGGTTTTAGATATAGAGGAAATAATAATTTCTCTAGATCTGCAATACTTTCGGCTTAAAATTTCCACGTTTCCACATTAATTTTTATTTCACCGGCAGATACGTAAGATACCGAATTGTCCAACAAGTCATACCTCAAGGGAAATCAATTTTCTCGATATTTTTTTCTGACTTTTGTTAGGTATTCATTATTTTGTTAAAAATTGCCTAATATTTCCTATATAGTATGCATATGCATTATAATATACGACCGTCTAGACGATAGATGAAAAAATAGAGTTCAGCTATATAATTGGATGCTGATATTACTAGTTTTATACATTTGCAATGTATAATGAATTAAATACGTGAAAAAGTTTAGAAATCAATTATTGATGCTCATTGGCTTCAGGTTATAACTCATTATAGAAAGGTATTCTTCATGTGTTTAACATAGAAATGACATATTCAGGAGAATCGCAGCACTGTTGTGGTTTAACCATAGGAATGAAATTTACCATTTACAGACTATTACGTTTGCTTTGGTTCATCCTTTACTCTTTACAGATATCATTTTCTGACAGTATAAATAGGAATAATGCATATTTATTCGAAGTATGCTAGAATGTATGATATATTACGTAAAATAGATGCGTATATTCTTTACCGTTTTCATCCAAACTGCATATATTTTCTAACATGGGTGTACACACAAAAGAGAATCTAAAAAAAAACCAAATAATAATAACAATAATAATATCGTCATTATTGTCAAGATATTAGAGACAATCTGCAAAAAAAATACTATATATGTATGTAACTGCTTCGCGTTTTGACAAATGGTGCACGCAAATTTTTTTAACTGAATTTTACTAATCTAAATACCAAGAATAAAATATTTTATGTAACTCATGCATGAAAAACGCTACTTTTCGTGCCTCCGAAGTGTGGCGAAAGTGGCGCTTTGTAACTAAGGATACGATAAAAATGCTGCGCATGCGCAAATTGGCCCAATTTTACATTATTGTACTAATACTTTCTTCTCGCACTAGTGCGATAAAGTAAACTTTGTTCTCGCGCGCTGTCATGAAATGTATTCACTTTTAAAGCCTTTCTTGCTCTTCTTATGGCTGCCTCCTCCAATGAAAAGATGTGTCAGCCACTATGGAGGCACAAAAATTATCGTATTTCATGCATTCGTTACAAACAATATTATGCGATACTGGCACAATAAGGCGAACATTATATGCAGGTCGTGAAGTTTGTCATACTCGCCGCACTCGTAAAACAAGTAGCATTCGCCTTCGGCTCGTGCCGCTGTGTTACTCGTGTGCGGCTCTGCAACCAACTTCACCGCCTACCTATAAAGTTCGCTTTCTC